TTTTGGTATAAATTTTTTTGTGCCTTTATCATATATTTCACAAAACTTGACATACATCTCATTCACTTCCTTGCCTAGCAAGAAGTCTGTCCAATTATTCTCACTAAAATTTTTTCTAAGGTTGCCATAATGTCCTCTCCTAAAGTCAGGTTTTTCAATTGCATCAACCTTCTTATTTTCTTCCAGATTATAACGTATTGCATACTTTATTCCCAAAAAGACATGGTCACTTTTACCCAAGGGAGGAAGGTACTGAATGTCAAATATTTTTTCCTCCTTCCTGGTAAATATCAAATCTAGCATGGAGGGAACGTCCCCTTCCCTCATCCTCGTAGCTTGTTTAACATGTTGATACAAGAATGTTTCCAGGATGAGGTCTACAAATTTACAGGTCCAAAAATCTTGTTTTAGCTTCATATGCTTCCCAGTCTATGGATTTCAAGTTGAAGTCGCCGACTATGAACAGTTGTGATCTATCGTTATCCGCTCTCGCTATGATCTCTCTCATTATTGTTATAAGACCTTCTTGTTTACTATCTAGCTCCTGCTTTGACCATGTGCTGCTTGGCAGTGGACTATATGCATTTATGATCATCAGTTTATCATCCTCATGGCAGATCTCTAGTGCTATTATGTCAACTTCTTGTGGATTGGCAGTCATTATTTCGTTCACCTTTAGGTGTTCTTTCACCAGCACAGCAACGCCACCGCCTTTCCTAATTTTTCTGTCCAGTCTCCAAATTGAGTAGCCCCTTGGGAATATGACTTCATTTAAAATAACATCTTCAAGTTTTGTCTCCGTGTGTGCAACAATGTCTGGTGTCTGCAGCTGTATTACATCACTTAACTCCAGTATCTTCGATCTTACTCCATCTATGTTGGTGTATGCAATCTTCAGGAACTTGTTCCCCCTCTCCTTATTTTTCACTCCCCCTCTCTCTAATGATTTTGTTGGTTTGCCTTTATGTACCACTTTACTGGTCTGCCTACCCCTATCACTTTGTAGAAAAAAGAATTGATTTCTTCTTCATTCCTGCTCTCATTTAAACGTTTTGCCTCAGCGAGGTTCAGTTTCAGCTTCTCCCGATCTTCTTTTGAAAGATCTCGTCTTAACGACCACACTTTCCCATCCTCATCACTTTGTAACTTTCTAGCATTCCTTAGTACTTCTTCCATCTGTTTGGTACCATTTAGGGTGATCCTCAAAGGTCGATTTTTCCGTATTACATATCTGCCTATTCTCCTGTAGTCGCACACATTCTCTATGGTTTTAAGACCTTCCACGAGGCCAACAACTTTATCTACTACTTTCGCTTCTTCTACAGCTCTTTCTGACCTAGATGTTATCTCCTTTTCTTTGCAGCCAAAAATTATTAGGGACTTACTCCGATCAACTGCGTTTTGCACCAACTTCAGGTTAGATGCCAATTCTTTTCTCACTTCCAGCCTAGTGTTTGTTTTATCTTGGTTGCTGCAATGTTTGACTTCCTTTACTGCTTCTTCATTTTTTTCCTTCTCCTTGGCCACTTGTGCATAAGTGAGTTGCATATCTTTCTTGCACTGTTCTATTCCCTGTGTAACTTCCTCCATCTGTGCTGACAAAAGTTGTTTTTCCTGTTGAATTTCCTTACCTAACCTATTGTAGTCATTTAAGTTTAAATTTACTTTAACGTCTTCCATAGCTATTTTTAAGAGTTTATTTTCTTCTTCCATGGCTTTGCAATTTGTTTCCAATTGATTCTTATCCTTGCACAAGTCTTTCACTAAACCCTCAAGACATACAACTTTGCTATTTAAATGGTCATTACCTTCTTTCAATTTACTAATTATTTCTATATAAGAGTTCACTATAGTATCTAATTTTACCAACTTGTCGTATAGACTGGTTATATCAATGCTTTCTTCATTGAATCCAGCAAAATCAACGTCTGTTTTGTATTTCCTCTTGCCGGCGGCCATCTTGAATGTTCTTCTCTGCACTGGAAAGATTAGGGCAACTTTTTCTCATCCAATTTTTCACTTCTCTTGGCACATTCCTGTTATCTCACCTATTTTTCAAAAGCACTATACCGTTATGTTCTCTGGGACACCACTCACTATCATCATCCTGTACTACAATACAGTACTTAGGATTGTTGAAATATGCTGGAGCTCCTCTTGTCTGCCTCGTGGGATAAGAACATAGTGAGAGGTCACTCATGTTCTTTCATCAAGTCCCTGTTAATATGGGAGAACACTGTGTCTATGCTTAATACAGTAACTTGCCTAAACATGCAAGTAAAGTTTTACAACTTTAGAACACTTTCCATCAGGAGACTAGGGTTCGATGGGAAAGTGAAATATGTGTGCCTTTACCTATACCTGTGTCAGGTATGAGAAGGTGAGAACTGTGGTTGATCCCTCAGATCAACACAGTCACAATAAAACAATGACAAGATCTTGTACTTACAGGTAGGCTACCTCTCTTTTTCACTCACTCACTCAGGCACATTTATGCAAGAACTCGTAGGTGGCCTAACAGCTGATTTGGCGACAGGCTTTCCCACAAACCGTACTTGACACGGAGGGTACTCGCAGGAGGGCGCGCTGTATGTCTAACAGACGCGCACACACACACTTGATAGCACTGGCGGTGAGTAAGGTGGTGACGTCATGTAGTACCGTGAAGGCAGGGCAGCTGGCGGCTCGAGGCTAGGTTAGCTACACTCTCTGGACCGAGTGGCGGCTGGCGGCTGATTATATGATACCATGAGGGTACACTGTAGCAAAAGTCACACACACAGATTAATTGGGTGGCGGCACTGCCTTAATTCACGCTAGGTCACTCACAGACGATCTCTATTTGTCACCAGTGGTTACCTGATACCAGTCTGTTTCGCTCTGGTGATTTGTCACTAGGCTTCTAAACAATATGGTCATGATCGTGATTCTGGGCAAACGTTGGTATATCAAAAAGACGCTGAGTTTAACTTGACGGTGAGGAATGGACGGTGTTCTTCTGTCTATTGGCCAATAGACAGAACAGGACATGTCCTCTGTGTACGGGCTCCCTCACGTGAATGCCCTTGCCTGGGGCTCAGGGCTCCTCGTGGGACACAACACAAGGGGTTACAATTTCACCAATGGCATTTCAGCAAAAGAGCGGGAACCAATCTTATTGATCGTTCCATGATCAGTAGCAGAGATCACGTCATGAACACGTCACGACCACATCACAGTTGTTATTCTCCAATGCGCCGGTTGAGGCTGACCCCAGAGGTCAGATCTGTCGCCTCGCTGGCGTCCCCTCTCTCTCTCTCACTCTGGCCTCTTACGTCCTGTGCACTCACTGACCCTTGTGCCAAGTATGCTTAACTTCCCTATATCTACTTCCTGTCTGGACATACGGCGGCCTCCATATTATAAACGTATTCCTGGTTAAGTGGGCATCCTAGAGATACCCAACATGACAGTTTACCATCCAGGGTTAACAGAGATAGGGCTTGTGCACGAGATCGGTGCACTGTGCACTGCAATGAGCCATTCAAGTCAGCTGTGGGATAATCTTGAGAGACCATACTCTCACACCATCTGGACTTGGTAAGACCGTGTTCATACATCATCCCATGCAGCAGCCAACAGCTGGCTTAATCGTTGGCATGGCACTAGCTTGGAAAACAATTACACAATGAACTTTATTTCATTTTAGTAATATAAAATATATCTTACCTGAATGTCACTTGAAATATTACCGACACTTCAACAACTTTGGAAATACCGGAGTCCCGCATTCAACGACCTGTTTCACTGTAATCTTGAAAAAGCTGTTAATTAACTCCTTACCTCCAATGAGATCAGCCACGTACAGGGGTACCTCAGTTTTAGTAGTTAATCCGTTCCCAAAGACGGGTACAAAAACTGAAAAATATAGAAACCGAAACGAATTTTCCCATAAGAAATAATGTAAATTGAATTAATCCATTCCACACACCCAAATATATTAACTAAAAAATACATTTTATACAGAATAATACTCTTGGGTACCTTACCTTTATTGAAGACTTATCGGTGTATGGAAGACAGTGAGGAAAGGGGGGGGGGAAGGAGGAGAGGTATTAGTGTTTGGAAGGAGAGTCCTTCTCCATTATAACAGCTGTGATGACATTTTTGGGGTACTCACTCTCTTATATTTTGCAGGCATACCATTGGGACCTGGTTGTGGCTCACTGCTCTCTTGTCTTACTAAGAATCCAATTTGTAAAAATCCAAAAAAGTGTCTATAGACACTTTTTTCCCTATGTTTTAACTGTTGTCTGTAGTAAGGCATCACATTGTCTCACTATGAATAATCTCTTGTTTTTCCTCTATCGTCATCCTCACAACTATTTTCTTAGGTTGAACATTACTACTGACATTCTTGGAACCCATGGTATGATATATAATAAGAAGTTTTATGTTCAGAAACCAAAAAAGAACAAAAACAATGAAATTCTTCACAAAGAATTCAAGCACGATCATCACTAGATGGGAGACACTGGTAAACTGAAGCGCCACGCTCGCTGTGGATCCGTACATGCATGAACAAATTTTGAGCACCGAGGCAAACAACGAGGACTAAATCGAATTTTTCGGAGAAATTGAGTACGAGTACAGAAAAATACGAGAACAGGAGCATACGAGAACCGAGGTTACACTGTAATTTACTTCATTAAACTGTACATTTAAAAAAAAATTAACATTTAATTTACAACTATGGATGATGGTGATAGGTGACCACTTACCATGTGAGGATGCGCCGATGCCAAAACAAACCCAATACCAACCTACTGTTTTATCGACCACCAGACCGGTATTTGAAGCTCCAGATACTGGTCTCCAAAACTAGTCGTTAGAACCAGCAGAATGGTAAATACGAGGCCGTTAAATCTTGTGGATACTATTAATAATGGGCCAATTACTAAATTTGAAGATAATTTGTATGACTTAATGAGTGTAAATAAAGCAGCTGGTAACTGACATACATCTTCCTTTGGCTTATCAATCCACTTGATGGGAATTTTGAACATCCGTGCAACTGATACCAGTTCCTGAAAAATAAATAAAAAACCAGCATTGAATGTAATGAAACACCATTTTCTGGGTGAGACCCGGAGGTTCCACAGAGCTTACTGGGCTCATATGTCTATATTAGACTGTGGAAACAGTCAATTCAGTAGGAATCCTAGCCTACCGGGGACCATGAGCCAGAACCTGGCCCCCTCAGAGAGGCAAGAGTAGCAATGGCCTAGAGACACCCCATGTGGTTGGAAGCAGTCTATATCTGCTATCTACCAGGTCAGGCCCCCAGAAACGTAGGAATTCTAAAACTAACTACGCCTGGTGAAAATTGCAAACCGTAAGCAACCAGATACAACACATGATGCACCCCCGCCCCCGGCCTAACCAATCAAGCATCCACAATCCAAGGACCCCTCCAGAAAGCAGCAGCCTCATTCTTTGCCAGAAAAGGAGATGGTTGCAAATGAACAAATTGACCCTCAGGACCAAAAAGAGGAGAAACCCCTATGCCAGAGGAGAGTATGAAGCTCCTTGACCCGACCCCCAGAGGCCAATGCCAACAAGAAAGAGCTTTAGAAAAACCATCCTGAACCAAAGGGGCCACCACAAACTGAGGAGAAGAGAGAAACACGAGCATTCGGTCCAACAACCAGGACGGCTCAGGCGGTGCATGAGCAGGCCGGAGGTGAAACAACGCATAAGAAAGCTTGTGAAACGGAGCAGAAGCGACATCCACCATGAACGCAAGCAGAAGCGGCTCCGCCAACTCCATACGATATGAGGCGACAGTATTCGGCATAAGATGATGGTCCTGAAACAACCAAGAGAGGACAAACAACCCGATCAGAAATCAAAGACAACCTACGAAGAGTAAAAAAATGATGAAAGGACTGCAAAGAGACTTCATACTGCCACCGAGACGAAACACACTGGAGGGACACCAACACAGCCACCTGATCACCATAATAAATGATGATAAACCGCATCAGAAAGACCAGACACAAAACTCTGAGGAGAAGATTGAACCAGCCACGTACCGGACCGGACCGGACCGATCTGCTGAAAGAGGCGGAGCCGCAAAAAACGCTCGGGTTCAGACACCGAGCAAACAGCACCTGAAATCAAAGCTGGGCCGGCCACCAATGGGCCAACAGGACTATTCTCCCCTGGTAAGTCTCCAGCCGAGTGAGAACCTGAAGCAACAGCTGAACTAGGGACAGAGGTACAGGTAACCCCACCTCGACCAGTCCTGCTGAAAGGCATTGACCTCAAGGACTCGCAGTCTGGGTAGGGCACCATATACACCAGAAGATGCCACAACCACGCCGACGCAAAAAGATCCACTTCCGGGTACCCAAACATCCGGCAGAGACAACTGAAGGAGTCGGCGTCGACCGTTCATTCCGTGGACAGGAGAATGAACCAGGGCAGGCCATGCACCAGGACGTTGAACACCCCATGGATATGAACTGCCAGGATAGCCAAACCCCGAGAACTAAGCAGGGGAATCACCCGATGCGACCAACCCCATAAAGCCAAGTACCGCATTGAACTCCCTCGGTTCAGGCAATGAACCATCGGGAAGCAGTCAGAATGGAGTCGGATCGTCGATCTGCATGCAACATGAACTCTCCGAAGTGAAAACCACACCACCGCGAACTTCTGCACCGTGCTATGAACCTGTCAGAAGGACAGACCCCACCACCCCTGGCCGAACTGGTGAGCACTGGTCACAAAGCCCCAGCCTAGAGACAACGCATCCATGAACACATCAAGTGAGGGCTTGCGTTGGTGCCATGGCACTGAACTCCAAAAAACCCAAAGAGGAAGCCTGCGATGCAGAAGCTGATGCAAGGCCTCCAGCATCCGAACCCAGGGATTGCGAGAGTGGCGGAAGGGACAGCCCTGAAGGAACCAGAACAACCGCCAAAGCCAGATTGGCAGCAGCCGCAGCAATGCTGCAGGAGGGAGAGACAAGGAAGCGGTCCAAGAGTCCCACACAAGACCCAGTCAAGTCCGAACCTGAGAGGGAACCAATTGGGACTTCCTCCAGTTCACCAAGAACCCAAACCGGGCAAGCTGGGAAAAAACCAAATCCCTGGTGAGCAGACACGCGGACCGGCTTGAAGCCCAGACCAGCCAGTCGTCTAGGCAGGCCAGAACCCGAACCCCAAGCAGATGCAAACGGGTCACCACGACCTGGGTAAGCCATGTAAAAATGCAAGGCGCCAGACTCAAGCCGAATGTAAGGCAATGAGAGCTGTAAGCTTGCTAGGTAAACCTAGCCAGTACCTGAACCCCAGATGAATTGGGACGTGACAATACTCGTTCTGGCAGTCCAGAGACACCATCAAAGCATTTGGCTCCAAAAGCAGCTGGACCTGGGAAAGAGTGGTCATCCGAAAAGAGGGGCAAATGACCCAGGGGGATTCAGACGGCACAAGTCCAGAATGAACCTCAGGTTTGCACAGTCCCATTTCAAGACCGGAAACAGGCGGGAAACCCACATGAGGGACAACGTCGTTTTGCCCAAGCCCAAGCACACCAACTCTAGATGACCCAACAGAGCGCTGGAGAATAGGCCTGCCCCGCCAGTCCCGAACACCCCGAAGGAGGAGGAGCAGCCACCCGACGCAACTGCAGGCCAGAGGAAACAATCTGAAAAGCCCACAAATCGTTGGACCAGGCTTGAGCAAACAGGACGAGGCTTCCCCCCCCCCCCATCGCTCCATCAACAGGGTGAACCGCAAAAGGGCTGACGATACTTACGAGAATCCCTGGTGCAGAGTGACTCGCAGAGTGATCACTGCGCCGATCCTAGGGCCCCATCGGCCCGGAATCTGGCACCATTGGCCTACTATGACCAAAGGAACCATGAACCCCTAGCATGACCCTTCCAGGCAGGACCCCCATGGCCTCCTCAGAACCATCAAGTCCAACATGGGACAACAACTAGATGAAGCCGCCTGCGGATACTGCACAACCGCAGACTGTGAATAGCAACGAATAAAAAGGGGATGAAAATCTAAGAGCCAGGGGCCCCAAGCAGATTCCAAAGAGTGAATGAGCCCCGTCTGTCGGCACACGAGGCAACAAGCAAGGAACAGAAACACCATTTCCTTCAGAATCGGCGCTAATAACTTCAACAAGTTGTTTGTTGAGGCTCGGGTGTTGAGCTTCGGCAGCTCGACGCCCGAGCAGCTGAGGCAAGTGCACCGGACGCAGGCTCAGAACCAAGTACCTCCAAGTACCTTGAAGACAGCTCCAGCAGGGTAAAAAAGTGCAAGACCAAAGCCAAATGTCCACGGGCGCAAAAATCCTTAGCCACCAGGGACGCCAAAAGGGCTGGAACCTGCAAGTGAAGCTGCACCTGGCCAACATCGCAAGGAAGAACAGTGGGCAAACAAGCACGCATTGAGCCGCTCAAATTTTCCCTCCATTTAAACCTAAACAATTGTTGTAGTCTCCCCACCATTCAAGCATGCGGGTCTGAGAGAATGCATGCCACGCTCCCCAACGAAATGAAAGGGCAGTCTACCAGCCAGGAAGACTCAAAAGAAGAAGGATCCATTATCGAGGCATAATCAGTCTCGCAAAAGGAAAGCTACGATGGCCCCCCAAACCTCCTTAGGCGGGATGTGGTAAGCCGAAAACCTCGGGAAAGAGGGAACCTAAGAACCCAAGGGAACCCAGAAGTGAAGCCGGACAGGAGCCCAATTCATATCAAACTCGTACAGGAAGGCAGGGAGGGATAAGAAAACCCCTCCCCCTACAACAACAAGGCCTGCCCCGAGGGGTACCAACACCCAAGCAGGGTCAAGCGGGGCCCAAGCCCCCCAAGTCAACTCCTCCCCAGCCCCATGATCCTCTATGACAGGACCGAGAGCAGAGCCTTTCCCTAAACCCTCTGCCTTAGAAGAAAAGGCAGAGTCTGCAGGTATGAAGGGGGTCTGCTGGCACAACCCAAAAGCCCTGGCAGGAGGAACATACCCGAATGCCTCCGCCGCCGATCCGGAAGGGGCAGTCCTCAAAGCTGCCCGAGTCTCACCATCCATCTTCGAGGGGGGGAAGAGGGGGAACAGGATGAACTACAGCAGGAGAAGGATGAGGGGGCACAGACAAAACCAAAGTATAGGAGACTAACACCCCCAAGTCCGGGACCCTATAACTCAAGCGGGGCAGCCTCGAGGCAACCAGGAAGGCAACCAACCTAGCGAATTGCATCAACCTATACCGCGCATGCAACACTGAAGCTGCCTGCACCCAAACATCAATATCAAGGGACTGGGTGAAATGGAGTACAAGCAAGGACTGCCACTCATGTATGACTCAGAAGCCTTGGCAGGAGGAACAGGCTCAAAAACCTCCATCCCCAACCCGAACAGAGCAGACCCCGAAACCGCACGAGTCTCGGCCCCAACTAAACCCCGCCCCAGTCCCGAAACCCGCAGACGGTCAGGAGCCGGGAACAGGGAGGGAAAGGGGCGAGCAACACCTAACCAAAACGGGGCGGCCCCGGGGCATCCGAGTGGGAAACCAACCTAGTGTGTTACAGCAACCTAAACCAAGCTTGCAACGCGGATGCTGCCTGTATTCTGAACAGTAATGACATCAGGAGAGTACTGGAGAACAAGAAGAGAACACAACTCGCAAGACTCTGGGTCAAGGTGCCAGTGACCCAAAAGGCAGCATGACGGAGGTAAAAGTGGCGACTGTCACCTGGAGACATGGCAGAGCAACCAATGAACCCGCACAAGACGGGATGGAACCCGGAAGACACATCCAATGGTCCACCCAACCCCGACAGCGTTTTCCAGGGCCTGTAGGCAGACTGCTACGGAAAGCCCGGTCAAGATGTTGCTAACCGGTTAACACCCAAGCTAACAAGGAGTAGATACAACACTGAAAACCCATGCGACGTGTACAATCTTGGGGGCCTAGCAGAGGGCCACCAAACACTACCAGTGGAACTATAGCCACACTAGGTAGACCCACACCAGGCAAATGAAAATAAAAACAAAAGAAAAAT